TATTATTGTCGATGTGTTTCTTTGATTTTGTTATTAATTGGTTTATATAGTTGGCTGCTCCCATGTTAGGGGCATAGATATTAAAAATTGTTAGATCTTCTTGTTGGACAGTTCCTTTGAGTATGATATAGTGTCCTTCCTCATCTCTTATTATAGTCTTTGGCTTAAAATCTAATTGATCTGATATAAGGATTGCCACTCCTGCTTTCTTCTGATGTCCATTAGCATGGTAAATTCTTTTCCACCCCCTCACTTTAAATCTGGAGGTGTCTTCAGGTTTAAGATGAGTTTCTTGTAGGCAACATATAGATGGGTTTTGTTTTTTTATCCATTCTGATACCCTGTGTCTTTTGATTGGGGCATGTAGCCCATTAACATTCAGGGTAAGTATTGAGAGATATGAATTTAGTGCCATTGTATTGCCTGTAAGGTGACTGTTATTGTATATTGTCTCTGTTTCTTTCTGATCTACTACTTTTAGGGTCTCTCTTTGCTTAGAGGACCCCTTTCAATATTTCCTGTAGAGCTGGTTTGGTATTTGCAAATTCTTTCAGTTTTTGTTTGTCCTGGAAGCTTTTAATCTCTCCTTCTATTTTCAATGATAGCCTAGCTGGATATAGTATTCTTGGCTGCATGTTTTTCTCGTTTAGTACTCTGAATATATCATGCCAGCTCTTTCTGGCCTGCCAGGTCTCTGTGCATAAGTCTGCTGCCAATCTAATATTTTTACCATTGTATGTTACAGACTTCTTTTCCCGGGCTGCTTTCAGGATCTTCTCTTTGTCACTAAGACTTGTAAATTTTACTATTAGGTGACGGGGTGTGGACCTATTCTTATTGATTTTGAGGGGGGTTCTCTGAACCTCCTGGATTTTGATGCTTGTTCCCTTTGCCATATTGGGGAAATTCTCTCCAATAATTCTCTCCAGTATACCTTCTGCTCCCCTCTCTGTTTCCTCTTCTTCTGGAATCCCAATTATTCTAATGTTGTTTCGTCTTATGGTGTCACTTATCTCTTGAATTCTGCCCTCGTGGTCCAGTAGCTGTTTGTCCCTCTTTTGCTCAGCTTCTTTATTCTCTGTCATTTGGTCTTCTATATCGCTAATTCTTTCTTCTGCCTCATTTATCCTAGCAGTGAGATCCTCCATTTTTGATTGCACCTCATTAATAGCTTTTTTGATTTCAACTTGGTTAGATTTTAGTTCTTTTATTTCTCCAGAAAGGGCTTTTATATCTCCCGAGAGGGTTTCTCTAATATCTTCCATGCCTTTTTCGAGCCCGGCTAGAACCTTGAGAATCGTCATTCTGAACTCTAGATCTGACATATTACCAATGTCTGTATTGATTAGGTCTCTAGTCTTTGGTACTGCCTCTTGTTCTTTTTTTTGTGGTGAATTTTTCCGCCTTGTCATTTTGTCCAGATAAGAGTAGATGAAGGAGCAAGTAAAATACTAAAAGGGTGGCAACAACCCCAGGAAAATATGCTTTAGCCAAATCAGAAGAGATCCCAAATCGTGAGGGGGGATAAAGGGGATAAAAAGAGGTTCAGAAAGAAGAAAAAAAATAAATAAATAAATAAACAATTAAAAAAAGAAAACCAATAAAGAAAAAATATAAAAAGGAAAAAAATATATATATATATTAGATAAACTAGTTAAAAAACGTTAAAAAAGAAAAGGGTAAAAGTTAAAAAAATTTAGCAGAAGAAGAAAAATAAATTGAAAAAGAAAAAAAATTAAATTAACTGCAAGGCTAAAGAATCATGGGGAGAAAGCCGAGTTCCGTGCTTTGCTTTCTCCTCCTTTGGAATTCCACTGCTCTCCTTGGTATTGAAACTGCACTCCTTGGTAGGTGAACTTGGTCCTGGCTGGGCTTCTTGTTGATCTTCTGGGGGAGGGGCCTGTTGTAGTGATTCTCAAGTGTCTTTGCCCCGGCGGAGTTGCACCGCCCTTACCAGGGGCCGGGCTGAGTAATCCGCTCGGGTTTGCTTTCGGGAGCTTTTGTTCCCTGAGCGCTTTCCGTAGAGTTCCGGAGGGCGGGAATCAAGATGGCAGCCTCCCGGTCTCCGGCACGGAGGAGCCGAGAGCCCGGGGCCCCACTCCTCAGTGCGCCCTCAGAGAACAGCGCCCAATTACTCCCGTCACCCTGGCCTCCGGCCGTGCTCCGAGCTGACCGAGCCTGGGACCGGTTCAAGGTAACCCCGAGCTTAGAGCTCACTCCTCGGCTCTGTCTCTGTAGCCGGCTTCCCTGTTCTAATACCTGTAAGCTCTGCGACACTCAGACACCCCTGATCCTTCTGTGACCTTGCGGGACCTGAGGCCACGCTGACCCTGCATGGGCTTCACCCCGGTTAAGCCTCTGGAGCGATGTCCCTCAGCGGAACAGACTTTTAAAAGTCCCGATTTTGTGCTCCGTTGCTCCGCCGCTTGCCGGGAGCCGGCCCCTCCCCCTGCGGTCTATCTTCCCGTCGCTTTGGATTCACTTCTCCGCCCGTCCTACCTTTCAGAAAGTGGTTGATTTTCTGTTTCTAGAGTTGCTGTTCTTCTTCTCTTCGATCTCCCGTTGGATTTGTAGGTGTTTGCAATCTTTAGATAAGCTATCTAGCTGATCTCCCACTACCTGAAGTAGTCTCAGCCTGCTACTTCTCCGCCATCCTGACTCCTCCCTCCGACCAATGTATTTCTAAAAATGTTCGACTTGACTAGTAATCAAAGAAATACAAATTAGAGTGACAAGGCCGTATTGATGAAATTGGCAAAATTTTTTAAGTAGAAATAGCCAGGTTGGGTAAAAAGTGAAACTGCTATACATTTTAGGAGAGAAGTTAACTCATAAATATTTGCTGTAGGCCAATTTATAATATTTACACTTTAAAATTCGTGTGGCCTTTCACCTAGGAATTCCTCATCTAGGAAGTTATGCTAAGGAAATAATCACAGATATGTATATAAGGATTTAGCCACAGGGCTACTCATCTTAGAACTACATGGAAGGAGGAAAGGGAGGAAGGAAGGAAGGAAAGAAACTGAAATGAAAGTAATCCTAAAATAAGAAACTAGGTTAATTAACTATGCATATTCAAAAGAATTTCATCAGCCACGAAAGATGATGACACTGCTATATTTATTGTCATGGAAAGAAATTGTTGACATGATGATTTTAGAAAATAAATTAAAAATTATATATAACAGTATTACTGTATTTTCACTAACCTATATTTGGTTATATTTCTATTATTTATAAAAGATAAGGACTGAAATAATATACAACAAAATCTTGACTATAGATATATCTGATGATGTGATTTGGGATTCTTTTAACTTTCATTTTTCTTCTTTTTTCTTATTTTTATGCAATGGAATTTATTATTTGTGTAAAAAAAGGAGAAAAAAATTTTGATATCACAGAATCATATCAGCTAGTAAAAATGTCTACAACTATTATTAATATATATCAAGTAATATGTTATGAAATAGTATGTACATTCTCATTTATGTAAGAAAAACTATATATATTAGGTTGAACCATACAAAACTGCTGGCATTTGTCTGTTTTTCATTTATAAAAACAGCAATTTCAAGTGGGTCAACTTAATACACATATTAGGAAAAATACATTCCAAAATATTAATAGTATCCTAGGAGTTCTAGGAAGCCTTTTTTTTTTTTTCGTTAAGGTCATCTATATTTCCTTCTTTAAATTCATCTGTATTTTCTTTTTTAAATTTCACTAATTTCTAATTTTTTCTAAAACACTAAATCCCAGTCTCTATATTTACAGGCCAGAAGACCCCAAGCAAGTCAACTGAACTCTCTTAGTTTCATCAAAAAAACAATGGGTGGGGGCCACGTGGGTAGATCAGTCTGTTGAGCCTCTACCTTCGGCTCAGGTCATGATCTCAGCGTCCTGGGATTGAGCCCTGCATCAGGCTCCTTCCTCAGGAGGAAACCTGCTTCTCCACCTGTCTCTACTGCTCCGCCTGCTTGTGCTATCTCTGTCAAATAAATAATATCTTTTTTAAAAATGGGAATATACCAAACACAAAAATAAATTCAAAAATGGATTCAAGACCTAATGTGAGACTTGAAGCCATAAAAATCCTAGAGGAGAACACAAACAGTAATCTCTTTAACATCAGCCATAGCAACTTCCTTCTAGATACATCTCCTGAGGCCAGGGAAACAAAAGCAGAAATGGACTATTAGGACTTCAGGATAAAATGCTTCTGCACAGCAAAGGAAACAATCAACAAAACTACAAGACAACTTACAGAAGGAGATATTTGCAGATGACATATCTAATAAAAGATCAATATTCAAAATAGATGAAGAATTTGTAAGACTCAACACCCAAAAAATAATAATCCAATTTAAAAGTGGACAGAAGACATGAATACACATTTTTCCAAAGAAGACATACAGTACAATTCTATTATACTTTATAGTCAACATTTCCCAAAGATACCACAGTCCTAAATCCATTAATGAAACTTTCTAAATGACAACTATTTTATTCTTTTCTCTTCTAAGTAGCTTTGCCACAAATATATGACAGAGAGAACAACTTTCCCTAACCAAACCATCCTCCTCCCCAGACATGCACTTATATAAGAATCAGACCCAGACCCAAAACTTTTCAAAATCCAAAAGATATGTAGAGTTTCAATGTCCAGGGGGCATAAAACAAGTAAAAGAAAAGAACTAAAGAGAAGAGGAAACAAGGAAATTAAATGAAAAAAAAAACTTAAAACAGTAATTATTACTGGAAAAACCCCTACTTTGTTTTCAGCTATCAAGTAAAACCTACTTCTACATTTTCGATACATGTGAATGCACACTTGGAATTGAGGTCCCAGAAGCAAGTTCATTCCGTCCTTATGAACTTGTACAGGATAAAATTTCAGATCTTGGGTTCTATTCCCTAGCCAGGAGATATAAATGATTCCCTGGAAGATCCACACCTACAGGAAACAAACGACTATGCAAGAGATACTGTCCTACCTTAACAGCTTCTCCCAGAGTTTGGTTTTTGTCAGCTTCCTCACTGGAATGCAGTTCAAGTCTGTAATTCAACTCCTGTAGCTGCTGTGCCTGCTCGTTCAGTAGCATTTGGGCCTGTTGTTCCCGAAGTAATGCATTATTCAGTTCTTCACATGCACTTTCAAACTTCTCATGGGTGATCAATTTCTGAAAAGAGGTTAAAAAATTCAGTTATAAGCTAGCTGCGTGGTTGTATCATTTAATCTTCAGAATTTGATTTGCCAACATAGACCGTAACACACACATTTCTAAGTGTCTGATACATGACAAAAGTACAACTTGTTTTTCTTAATCTCACAAATCAAGATTAAAAAAATAACTCTGATTTCTAACACAGAACAGCTATATTCCCAAAGTGATCATTTTTAGTCAAATAAAATCTTAGGAAATTTATTTCAAGTTCACATAAATCTATAATGCTCAGTTTACATTTTCATACATTAGCACTTTTTATAAAGAATGCGATTGCAGGAACTAAAGCCTTTAACGAGTGCTGATGATTTTAAGTGATCACGTGAAAATCTGTGTTCGGCATACATTACTATTCACATCTCCCTGGTCAAACAACCTCTCCTTCAAGAGTCCTTACCAGACCATCCCTTGCCCCTCCTCCGACACCTCACACGGCCATACCATATTCTATTATTTTCTTTACAGTCATTATCATTATCTAAATTCACTTCATGTAACTATTCCCTTTTTTACTGCCTGTCTGCACTCTGCCACCAACCACATGTCTAAGGATGGTGGGCAGAGACCTCATTCTGCTTTCTCACCCAACACACAGTACAGTGCCTGGTACTCAGTAGTGCCCAGCAGGTATTTGTTGAGTGAAAGAATATTCCTACATAAACATCTACAAATAAAACTTTGCGCCAGAGTATACAGCAGAGTTTTTACAGTCTCATCTAAATCTAAAGACTGCTTTCAAGAATGGAGCGATACATCTGTCTAAACAGTTCTAGCCAGGGGCCATCCCTTAAAGGGTGGGGAATCCATGGCAGGACACACATGTATTATCTCCTGTTCAAAACAATTAAGCAAATGAAAATTAATTACAGCAGACAACAAGAGACATCTTGATCTTGAAGAACAAAGTGTGGGAATGTTTCACACAAGGGAAGCAACCTGAGAAACATATATGGAAAACTAAAAGGCACGGTACAAGTCAATTAACCACGCTGTATATATAAATATATATGTCTATTTAAGACTGATAACTTTCCCATTGGTGAAAAGATTTAAAGGTAAATATAATTAACCACAAATATAAAGCAAATTGATTTAAATGTTTTTTTTAATTTGGGGGGGAGGGGAAGAGCAGAATAAAAATCCTATCGATTCTAGGCATCTGGAATATATAAACCAGTGCAGTTGAATGTGGACTTTATCTGTGAGTTTTCTGCCACATGACACAAATGTGCTTGGCTACAGTTTCCTCATGGGCCAACAACAGCAAGCATGCATCTCAGGCAGAGAAAAAACGTTCTGCTAGAACTAAGTTTGAGGATAAGTTTATTACTTGGCTCTTTCTGTATCATAATATAGTTTTAACTCAGTTTTACTTTCGCCCCAGGCACCTTGCCTGCTGCCTCCCACAAGCAACTGTCTTTTACTATTATTTGCCTTTTGAAAGGTGGATATAACGCACTCCTCAACACTGATTAAATTTTAAAGTATCACATAAACAACAGCAACATTCTAGCACAAAAATAGACGGGGAATGATTTACCTAAGTCGACACAAGGTAACAGGAATGATCCCAAGCACAGAGGAAAGAAAGTTGCCTCATTTCCTGAGAGTCCTCTAGGATCCTGTATTGGATGTATCTCTGATACTTTTACAGTGTTTAGATGTGCAGGAACACTTATCTTGTACTCCCTCCTAACAGCTGCCTTACTCTCCACATTGTCCCATTACAGCTAAACCCTCCACTTCGAGAACATCAGCTTTAACGGCCTCCTCTGGGCACTCTTGTTCATTTCAACCTCTTACCTACCATCCCTCTCTCCCCTGATGCCACGGCGCTCTTCTCAGTCTTATGAACAGATATTTTTATATTACTTCTACCTTTTATTTGTTATGTTGTTTTAAAGTATCACTCCTCGCCATCAGACGATCTGTCACTTGACCTCTATAAATCATGATGGCCATCATTTCCCAGGAATTCTACCCACTCCTCCAAAATTTCTCCTTCACATTAAAACTTGGCTAATTTTAGCCTCTCTCTTGTCTATCTATCCCTCCCAGAGACTGGCTCAATTCTGTTTACTCTTCAGAAAGTAAACAGAATCAAACAAGTAGAGCGAAGGAGAATAAGAAAGAGATGGTGTGGAAAAGCAGCTATAAGGACTAATAAAGCAAAAAAAGAAAAGAGAAAAAAATCATGGGAGTTGTCTGTTCAAGAACAACTGTCAGTAGATGAACACAATGCTCAGAAGCAATAAAAACACTGAACAGCTTTTGTAGGCAGGATGTTTCCCTTTACATTACAATTTTAGACCAACTATAAAGAAGCTATTTTATCTTCCTCCTATGCACTTTGACTGAATTCAGGGAAAGATGAGGATTGCAAGTACACTCTCCATTTTTTAAAAGAAAGTAGCATCATTTTTCGATCTGTTCTGTTTTTAATGAAACAACCCTTTATTAACACAGCTATATATAGATGTTAACCGCTGTAGTGAAGTAGTTAAAAGCATTTGTTTTGGAACCAGATTACTCAGGTCCAAATCTTGTCAATTCTACTTATTAACTTTGTGATTCTGGGCAAGTTACTCAGCTGCTCCACGTCCCATTTTCCTCGTTTATAAAATAAAGATAATCATAATTTTGAACAACTACTGATATAAGAGGACTAAATGAATCAACTCCTTGAAGTGTTTAGGGTCAGTGCCTGATACAGGGTCAATCTGGTCATTAAATGTTAGAAATCATCACTTTATAATGTCACACCTTCCAACTGTATGTCAAAGTACAAAAATCTCATTCCGTCAATTATTACTTCAATTGATCCTATTTTTATTTCTATACTTTAGTGAAAGCAATTCACACTAAACACTTCTTGGAATATATTCTTAGCATTTCCCCCAAGTCAGTTACTCAACCAAAGTTCTTACAAGAGGATTCTGTCACCTTCTAGCAACTTTTCTTCAAACTCTAACCTTCTCTCTGGATTCTAGAAACTGAGTCCTGACTATTTCCAAACTAATCAGAGATAAGATGTTAACTTGTTTTCCTAATACTTAGTGAGGGACTAGGAAATCCTATTGTAGGAATACCTAGAATTCCTCTTACATATTCCAGAAAGCAACAATTTCCAGGAAAATCACTATCATCTACACCTTAAAAAAAAAAAGTTGGGTATATTCTAAATCTCAAATTGTATCAATAGCTGTTTCCATCCATTTTGGCCTCAACATCCCAGATTTAGTTAATTTACACAACTAAAAGCAAATCAAAAGGAGGCAGAGACACACTCCAAAGGAATAGGCTTTTAAAAGTATAAACAATTCTTTATGACTTAAATATAATCACAAAAGAAAACTGGGAAAAAAAAAGTATCTATTAACAGGAGACTATGTCAAACAGATTTTGATATATCCATATTATAGAACAGTATTCAATTACCTAAAATGGAATTAATAACTGACACAAGAAAATGCTTATAGTACTACTATAAGTAAACATTAACATTTGTAAGCATGTTTTGCATATTGTACATGAAAATCATTCTAAATTACAACTGTGTGTAAGAGCATGCATCTGCACACGTACACACACAAAAATGTAGGGAACAAAACCAATCCACAATTCAGTGTTAATTGGTTATGGGTAGTAAGATTAGAGTGCTTTGAGTTTCTTCTTTACACTTTTTTGTATTTTTATTACATATTATTTTTATAATAAAAAAATATTGAGGCAGCTCTATAATTTTAACTTCTCTGAACAAAAAACTAAGAAAGTGAGGCAAAAACTGGTGTCTTTAGACATTCACTGACAAGAAAACTATTACTCATCTCCAATCAGAAGGGTAATTCACGATTACTTAACCTGACTAATTTATAAGAACTTTTGGCCCTTTCAAGGCATAGCTACTTAAAATAATAATTAACATTAGTAATTTACATTATCATAGGATTAGTAACTAAACTGCTATCTGCCACTCTCTTTCCACAAATGTTAAAACTGCAAATTCCAAATTAGCCATTTAAACTGAAGTTGAACTTGCAAGTAGCATACTGCTAGATTTAGGAAACAAATTTTGTATTTGTATTTATATTAGCTGTCATCAGTTGGACACAGTTCTGAAGTTTCAGGGTAACCATATGTTCTTATATCCACACTGAGAACAGCAGTGCTACTGACTAACCCGGGTGGCCGATGGAGTATACGGATAGCTCCATTTTACTGTGCTTCATAGATTTATACATTCTGATCTTGACTTAATGTTATTTGGTATCCAGGCTGTCTTTCCTCAACTATCTCCTGTTTTCTTAAATAATACATGAGTTCAACAGAAGTCAGACTGAACATTTCTTTGGAAAACCAATTTGATTTCAAATGAGATAATCTAGTTTACTCAACATAGTATAAAAGGAAAAGAGAGGACATCCCACCTCCCATTCCAAACATCAGGTTCCTCAATTGGGAGAAGTATTTTATTATTTTTTAGTATACATTTGGGGGTTTGTTTGCTAAAGCAGTTAATCTATCCTAAAATATAATTTCCTCTTTTTTTACACTTTCAGCCAGAGTATATATTTTAACAGGGCTATGAGTTCTGCTGACAGAGAATCAGTATTCCTTTAAGCATCTGGTATTAACTTCTGTTTTTGGGGGATATAATTGAGATAGAACATCATTTAAATGTAAGGTGTATAACCTGTTGATTTGATACACTTATATATCACGATATGATTACTACCATTGCTTTAGCTAACACCACTATCACGTGACATAATTATCATTCCATCTCGCAATGAGAACATTTAAGATCTAGTTGCTCAGCAACTTTGACTTTTATATAATGCAGTATTGCTGGGGAATTTTAGAAGGGAGGTTTTCTGAAGAAAAAGAAATTCTATTAACGGGACTCTGAATTATTCCAAAAAAAATCAAAAGTTAAAACAAATATATAGATATATGGATCATATATATGTCTATGTATGTGTATCATATGCACGTGGCTATGTGTGTGTATATATCTATCAGAAATATAGAGCCACAGTATTGTAAATCACACATACTTACAGACTGCTTAAATTCATTTAATTGCATCTGGAGACCCTGGGCTTTGTCAAGCTCCTTTTTCATCTCATTCACGCTGCGTTTGAATTCTGTGACCTCCAAGCGCAGTGAGCGGCGCTCCACTTCTGCCGCGTGTAGTCTTTGTGTAAATCCAAGTATTTGCTTCTGTAATGACGCCGTGCTTTTCTGTTGTTAATCAAGAGCAATTTTACAAAAAGGAACTACACGTTTACTAATAAATTAGCAGCCATGGCCACTTTACCAACTTCAATGTATCTTGGATTATACAGAGAAAGATACTTGCTGTAACTGACACTCAGAGGTGAAAGCTTTATTTTGTATGTGACCAATAATGTGGTTGATATGAAATCAGCAGCCAAAGAAAATAAATAATCTAATGGCTAGGAAAGGGAACTGACATTTGTTTATGTCTCACAGCATTCTGTGGCAGCCTACATCTAGGAAATAGTAAATTCACAACTCACGCCAGAACTTTTGTATTTATATATTTTAGACACGTACTTAGAAGTGCTATTAGGTACTGCATTAAAGACTACATGAAATCTAATCTAAATACATTCATGCACAACTAATTTAAACTACAAGTGAGTGTGATTCAGAGTTAAGTTTACAATCCTAAAGTCACTATTTAATGAAATTGCATACATACCAAAATGGGCACATGGCCGCGGAGACCATACTTCAGGGCCAGCGTGTTTACTTTATGAAGTCCACGAGCCAGCCGCTGAACCAGAGAATCTTTTTCTATGTATGTAATACTCCTGCCACTATGTAAAGGTATACTCTCCATTGCCAGACTAACTTTATCCATGAGTTTTGCAAAAGAACTCTTGGCTGCACCTATGAGTAAATGTCCACAGATTCTGGAATTTGGATCTTCAGGGGGAAGAAAAAGAAAAAAGAGGCAGAAAAGATGTGAACTTTCTCTTGTTCATTTCACAACTCTGCCAATAGCAACCCAATTAAAATGTTTTTTTCAGTTATATAATTCCCATTCGCCTGTAGTGATTCATTCAGAAAGTCCCCTCCCACATTAATTTTCACTATGACAAAAAGGAATGCAGAAAATAGCTCACCCACTAAACAACATATCTAAAGAAAATCTGCATGTATTTACATTATATCATTTACACTGAACACTAGGACACCAAAAATTCATCATCACTCTTTGCTTTGTTTTAAAACGTAACATAAATTCATTTTCTATTTACAACTACTGAAGCTTGTTACCTTAATGTCATACTATTTATATTCTCAGACAAGAAAATATAATTTGCCTTATTCTAAGGCAATTAAAATTTTACGACAATTACTTATTTCCCCACAGGATTTTGGTAATCATCCCTCTCACATAATGGACTTAAGGTCCCCGCATATCCACCATGGGCTGCTTGCTGCTAGATTCATCAGGTCTGTAATTAATAATTGTGTTTAATGTTGATAAATAAAATTGTCAGTGCACTTTCTACTAATTGGTATTCCAGATAATGGTTAATAGGTTTATTTATGCCTTAATAAAAGTTGTGTAATTTAGTTTTCCCTCTGCTAGGCAGGTCTTAATCTGTCAGTACTTGTTTTATGATACTATCTGTGTAAAATGACAAGCGTGGAGAGATTATTTAAATTCAGTAGTATACCATTCTACATTGCAAGAGCCTCTGCTGGTGGAATTAATTGAAATTTTGTCTTTATATCATAAACACAAAAAAGATATTTGGCCAGTTTTGTCCAATAGAAAAATATTTTATAATTCTAAGAATACATATGGTTCAACATTAAAGAACAATATTGGCTGAGAAGGTGATTAATCAGTGTTTTTCTAAGTCAGAAAGAACAATCTCACAGAGGCCCGATGTTCAAAAATGTGAGGCTTCTTTTATTTCTTTATTCCTCAGTGGATAAAAGGAAAGATAAATTTTTAAATTTATGCAGCGGTCACGGGGCACCTGGGTGGCTCAGTCGGTTAAGCATCAGACCTTGATTTTGGCTCAGGTCGTGATCTCAGGGTATGAGACTGAGCCCTGTGCTGGGCTCAGCACTCAGCAGGGAGTCTGCTGGAGATTCTCTTTCTCCCTCTTCTCTGCCCCATCCTCTGCTAGCATGCACTCTCTCTGTCTTTCTCTCTCTCTCAAATAAGTAAATAAATCTTTTTAAAAAATTTATGCAGCAATCAGATTTTGGAAGCCACAACTGCCTAAAAGTTATACATAAAATAAAAATTATAAATTGGATAAAAGCATAATACCCCTCCTGTGGAATTTATTTCTATCAGTTATTGATGCATTGACTTTTAACAATAAAAGGTGATACAAATTTAATTCTGTATGCCTCTCATAAACCTATTCTCTAAGGATCCCATTGATGGAAGGTATATGAAGTATAATTAAAATACACAGTTTCTTTGTTAACAATCAATTCCTTAAATAAGTCATGAATAAAAAGGGTTCAGTGCTTCACATACCAATTAACATATAATACAGAGCACTGATTTAAAAGAATTAAACTAGTGTTTAATGGGTCACTATTGAAAAAAAACCAGTAAAAGTTTTATTAACTATAACATGCAATATTATACATCATTCCAGTGCCTAATATATGTATTCCAGTTTCTCAACTGGCTTGCAACTCCTTAACTGTGTCTTTTGTCATCTCAGTAAACCCGGTATTTGCCCTGGGCCAGCCTAACATATATGCTTATTTTGTATGTGTTTATTGGATTAATTATACTTCATTTTATTTCCATAGCAGCTGAAACATAGGGATGCATTCAATAATACCAAGAAAGACACATAGATCAATGGAACGGAATAGAGAGCTCAGAAATGGAACCTCAACTCCATGGTCAACTACCCTTCAACAAAGTAGGAAAGACGATCCAATAGAGAAAAATACAGTCTCTTCAACAAATGGTGTTGGAAAATTCGACAGCCACATGCAGAACAATGAAACTGGACCATTTCCTTAACACCACACACAAAATAGACTCAAAATGGATGAAAGATCTAAATGTGAGACAGGAATCCATCAAAATCCTAGAGGAGAACACAGGCAGCAACCTCTATGACCTTGGCCACAGCAACTTCTTATTAGTCACATCTCCAAAGGCAAGGGAAACAAAAGCAAAAGTGAACTATTGGGACTTCATTAAGATTAAAAAAAAAAAATGTACAGCAAAGGAAATAGTCAACAAAACTAAAAGACAACCTACGGAATGGGAGAAGATACTTGCAAATGACATATCAGGTAAAGGGCTAGTATCCAAAATCTATAAAGAACTTGCCAAATTCAACAGCCCCTCCCCCCCAAAAAAAAGAAATGGGCAGAAGGCACGAACAGACATTTCTCCAAAGAAGACATACAAATGGCCAGGAGACACATGAAAAAGTGCTCCACATCACTCGGCATCAATGAGACGCAATGAGATACCACTCATTCACACCGATCAGGATGGCTAAAATTAAAAAGTCAGGAAACGACAAATGTTGGAGAGAATGCAGAGAAAAAGGAACTCTCCTACACAGCTGGTGGGAATGCAAGCTGGTATAGCCATTCTGGAAAACAGTATGGAGGTTCTGCAAAAAATTGGAAATAGAGCTACCCTACGAGCCAGGAATTGCACCACTAGGTATTTACCCAAAGGATACAAACGTTGTGATCTGAAGGGGCACATGCACCCAAATGTTTATAGCAGCAATGTCCACAATAGCCAAACTATGGAAAGAACCTAGATGTCCATCAACAGATGAATGGATAAGGAAGATGCAGTGTGTGTGTGATATACACAATGGCATTTTACTCAGCTATCAAAAAGGATGAAATCTTACCATTTGCAGTACTATGGTTGGAACTAGAGCATACTATGCTGAGTGAAATAAGCCATTCAGAGAAAGAAACTTATCATATGATTTCCCTCATATTGGAATTTAAGAAACAAAACAGGATCATTGGGGAAGGGAGAGAAAAATAAAACAAGTTGAAATCAGAGAAGGAGACAAACCATAAGAGACTCTCAATTATAGGAAACAAATTGAGGGTTGCTGAGGAGAGGTGGGTAGGGGAATGGGGTAACTGGGTGATAGGCATTAAGGAAGGCATGTGATAATGATGAGCACTGGGTGTTACATACAACTGATGAATAACTGAACTCTATATCTGAAATTAATAATACACTATATGTTAATTAATTGAATTCAAATAAGATTAAAATACCAAGAAAAATTAATTTTTAATGGTATGTCAAAAGTTATTTTTTATGTTTTTTTAAAGATTTTTAAAATTTATTTATTTGTCAGAGAGAAAGAGGGAACAAGCAGGGGGAGCCGCAGGCAGAGAGAGAAGCAGGCTCCCCACTGAACAGGGAGCCCAATACAGACTTAATCCTGAGACACTGGAATCATGACCTCAGCCAAAGGCAGATGCTTAACCAACTTAGCCATCCAGATGCCCCAAAAGTTATTCTTTCTAAATAAACAAGATAGTGGCTCATCATTTTAGGAAATTTTCAGGTATATCAAAGTAACAAAATTTTCACAAAGAGACTTTAAAAGCAAAAAATCAACTATAATTAAAATTAATGAGTAGCAGTTTTTTACTGTATCATAGAAACAAATTTGTGTGGGCACTAACCACTCTGAAAGGCGAAACTGAGTGACAATATAATTCTACAAGGCATTCTTCTGAATTTTTAAGAAGTGGGAAAGAGGCATTCCTGATTGCTGACTCTCAAGGAATTACAGAAAGAGCACTAAAATAATTTATGCTCTGATGAGTGAGAAGTGTTTTTGTGACATACTTTACATTATACAGTATAGAGTAGGATAAATTCCACACTAAATAAATGAAGAAACAAAAAGAAAATCCTCTAGTGACATAGTGGTAGAATTATTTGAATAATGATAAGAAATAAGAGATAAAAATAAGGTCACTGAAATTTCTCATGTCTACACTTGTCTAAACTGTTTAAATGTTTGCTACATTTAACAAAGTTCTGTTTATGTAAAGTACATTTGTTAATCACTTTCCCTCTATTTAATAGCATGTGTCTTTTGAGAAAGAAGAAGACCCTACTGGACTTTTTCCAATAGAAAAGGCAATATCATACATTTAAGGTTAAAATATTTAAAACAAATTCATAAAGAATTGTTTTGACCAGTAATTTTAAACCTGTGAGTGACAGATCTTGGGGCAGGGGTATAGGAAGCTAAAGAATTGTTTCAAGGGTTTCATCACTTTTAACTAAAGCAACCACTGCCATCTTGATCTTTATTTAGCCCTAAAAAAATATACAGCATGAATAATATATGACCATGATGTTGTGGGTAATAAAATTAAAAGTCCTTTAAAACATTATCAAAGTCAACTGCTACTAAAACTACAACTATCATGTGGGAAGAGAGCAGTCTACAATATGTCTTCTTATCAAAATGGAGTCCTCACACTTAGAAAGATTGAGAAACACTCCTTTAACGAAAATGGGGATTCATGAGTAATCATTTAATTAGTACATATGTAATGCATAACTATTTAATTTAATCATAATGTTGCTCATGAGTATAATATTAATAATAATGAGTAATATAATACAAAAATAACAAATGTTAATCATGAGTAATGCTAACGTCTTATATTCAAACTCAACTTCACAGACTTGGGAATATTTTGTCATCCTTGACATCTCCATCTCCCTTACCATCTCCCCACATCCCATCCTGAATATTTCTCCAGTCTATTCAACGTTCTCTGTGATCATGATTATATCTCATCTGTATTCTTGCTAGAGTCTCCCTACTCTTCTTCAGTCTTTCCCTTCTTCAACTCATCCTCCACCATAGACAAAGTGTCTTCTAAAACACAAATCAGGGGCGCCTGGGTGGCTC